GGTCATTGAGGAACGCTTCCTTGTCTGGGCAGCCCTGCGGAGCAGGCGCCTCGGCAGTCAGAAACAAGCGCAACTCCTCCGCCATTGTCAGCGCGCCCGAATCGCGTCGCCCCCTGTCGCGACCGCCCCTGCTGCTGCACTGGCGCGCTTCAAATGCGGCGGAGCAACGCAGCGCCCGCGCGGGCGCGCGCGCGCCGAGCACGCACGGGCACGAACGAGCGCAGAGGCAATTGCAAAAACAATTATTCACTGCGTGGAGCTCCCCATATGTGCATCTACTCGCATGGACCTGTCCGCCGTGAATGTCTAGGCGCAAGAGCTTTCGAATATTAACAGGCTTCAGTTGTGACGGTCTGGACATCAATCTAACTGCGAATGAATTGGAGTGTGAATGAGCCTCAGTAGTACGAGCGCGTCTCTGTGCATGAGCCTGGGGCCTCCTGGGGCCTCCTGAAACCTACTGGGGCTTCCTGGGGTCTCCAGGAGCCTCTTGGGACCTCCTGGGACCTCCTAGGAAGGTTTCGTGCCCCAGGAGAGGCGCAATCTATAGCAACAGACGTACATAAAACATTGCGGATTAGAGCCACAGGAGAAGGGCAATCTATAGGAACACGCGTAAAACACCAAGGACTCGTGCCCCAGGAGAGGCCCAATATATAGGAACATGATAAAACATTTAGGATTGTGTACACAAGAGAAGGACCATCTATAGAAACATACGTAGAACATCAAAGAATCGTGCTCCAGGTGAGGCCCAATCGATAGGAGCATACGTAAAACACATGGGATTGGAGCCACTCCTGTTGCCTTCTGAGGCCTCCTGCTCCTGGGGCCTCTCGGGGCCTCCTGTTGCCTTCCGAGGCCTCCTGGCGCTTCCTGTTGCCTCCTGGGGCCTCCTGTGGTTTCCTGAGGCCTTCTGGAGCTTCCTGGGGCCTCCTGGAGCCTCTTGGGACATCCTGTGGCCTCTTGAGTCTTTCTGTGGCCTCCTGATGCCTCCTGGTACCTCATGTGGTCTCCTGGGGCCTCCTGGAGTCTGGCCCACCTGGGGGGTGAAAATTAGCGCCTCGCTCGAGACATCCTCCAAATCTGCTCCGAAAGCGAAGGATTTTGGGCCCAGAAACAAGCAAACCGCCTGAGACATCCCCACAAAATGGCCGCGAACGAGCCCGTGCAACCACCCCTGGCGGCTCCCCTTAGGGCCACGAGCCTGGCCACCAAAACAAGCAAACCGATCGAGACATCCTCAAAGTCTGGCCCACCTGGGGGGTGAAAATGAGCGCCTCGCTCGAGACATCCTCCAAATCTGCTCCGAAAGCGAAGGATGTTGGGCACAGAAACAAGCAAACCGCCTGAGACATCCCCACAAAATGGCCGCGAACGAGCCCGTGCAACCACCCCTGGCGGCTCCCCTTAGGGCCACGAGCCTGGCCACCAAAACAAGCAAACCGATCGAGACATCCTCAAAATCTGGCCCACCTGGGGGGTGAAAATGAGCGCCTCGCTCGAGACATCCTCCAAATCTGCTCCGAAAGCGAAGGATGTTGGCAAGACAAACAGGCAAACCGCCTGAGACATCCCCACAAAACGGCCGCGAACGGGACCGTGCAACACCCCTCGGCGGCTCCCCTTAGGGCCACGAGCCTGGCCACCAAAACAAGCAAACCGATCGAGACATCCTCAAAATCTGGCCCACCTGGGGGGTGAAAATGAGCGCCTCGCTCGAGACATCCTCCAAATCTGCTCCGAAAGCGAAGGATGTTGGCAAGACAAACAGGCAAACCGCCTGAGACATCCCCACAAAACGGCCGCGAACGGGACCGTGCAACACCCCTCGGCGGCTCCCCTTAGGGCCACGAGCCTGGCCACCAAAACAAGCAAACCGATCGAGACATCCTCAAAATCTGGCCCACCTGGGGGGTGAAAATGAGCGCCTCGCTCGAGACATCCTCCAAATCTGCTCCGAAAGCGAAGGATGTTGGCAAGACAAACAGGCAAACCGCCTGAGACATCCCCACAAAACGGCCGCGAACGGGACCGTGCAACACCCCTCGGCGGCTCCCCTTAGGGGTGCTGAAACCAGCGCCCCGCCTGAGACATCCTCGCAATCTGCTGTTTATCGAATAAGTCAGACAATGAGAAGGTCTGAGTATGAGTAATTCTGAGTATGAGTAAGTCTGTGTATGAGGAACTCTGAGTAAAAGGAGGAGGAGAAGGAGGAAGTCTGAGTATGAGTAAGTCTGAGTATGAGTAGGTCTGGGTATGAGTAGGTCTGAGTATGAGTAAGTTAATGTGATCAGGTCTGAGTATGAGTGAGTCTGTGTATGAGTAAGTCTGTGTATGAGTAAGTCTGTGTATGAGTGAATCTGAGTATGAGTGAGTCTAAGTAGGAGGAGACGAGAAGAGGGGAGGAGGAGAAGAAGAAGGAGTAGGAGGCGTCCAAGTAATAACAAGAACCCCATCTTAGGATATGGGGAATAATGGCATTTTGCCCGCGGACCCGTCGGCCGCTACGATGGTGCAGATGGCGCAGTTGCCAGGAGGCCCAGTCGGCCGTTGCGGTGGCGCGGTTGCCCATGGGCCCAGACGGCCAGAAGGCGTCCTGACACCGCCGCCGAGTGAGTGCAGTGGGCCCATCCAGCCGCAGGGGGGGCGGCACAATTGCCAGTGGGCCCCAACTGGCCAGCGGCCACAGTTAGGCCCTGAGAGTGGCACGATTGGCAGTGGGCCCAAGTTGGCCAGCGGGCACGACTTAGCCCTTTTGCGAGGTGGCCCCGTTGCCAAGGGGCCCAAGTGGCCAGCGGGCACAAATTAGCCATCTGCGAAATGGCACAATTGCCAGTGGGCCCCAGTTGGCCAGCGGGCATTAATTAGCCCTTTGCGAATGGCGCAGTTGCCAGTGGGCCCCAGTTGGCCAGCGGGCACTAATTAGCCCTCTGCGAAGTGGAACAGTTGCAAGTGGGCCCTAATTGGCCAGCGGGCACTAATTAGCCCTTTGCGAATGGCGCAGTTGCTAGTGGGCCCCCGTTGGCCAGCGGGCACAAATTACGCTTTGCGAGTGGCACAGTTGCCAGTGGGCCCCAGCTGGCCAGCGGGCGCTAATTAGCCCTTTGCGAGTGGCGCAATTGCCAATGGGCCCCAATTGGCCGACGGGCACTAATTAGCCCTTTTGCGAACGGCACGGTTGCCAGTGGGCCCTAGTTGGCCAGCGGGCGCTAATTAGCCCTTTGCGAAGTGGCGCAATTGCCAACGGGCACTAGTTGGCCAGCGGGCACGAATTAGCCCTTTGCGAGGTGGCACAGTTGCCAGTGGGCCCCAGCTGGCCAGCGGGCGCTGATTGGCCCTTTTGCGAAGTGGCGCAGTTGCCATTGGGCCCCAGTTGGCCAGCGGGCATTAATTGGCCCTTTGCGAGGTGGCACAGTTGCCAGCGGGCCCCGCTGGTCGCTCTTTACGCGTACGCTCGGCACGAGCGTTGCACCATTACCCGACAGGCGAACTGCGCCCGCACGCTCCGCGGACCCCCCGAACGCTCGGCACCCGCCCTGGCGGGAGCATCGGGCACCAAGAAGGCCCGACGTCCCCCGCGCAGGACGAAGCCGGCGAAGCCGCCATTACTCGGCGGAGAAATGTGAATTGATTTCGAGCTAGCAAAATCGACGAGGTGAGCTCGTTGAAGTCGTCCATGTAGAAATCATCTTCACCTGGGGGGATGCAGCGGGGAAGGAACCTGCGCGCGAAGGAGAGGGCAGCGAGCGAGGACGGCGGCGCGCGCGGAAGAAGGAGCGGAAGGGGAAATCGGAACCTGCACGGAAGGGAGGCGCGGCGCGGCGACCGCCGGCGAAAGCGCGCGCGCGCGGAGCACGCAGTCGGAGGCGCGCGACGGACCGCCGGCGCGCGCGCGCGAAGCAAGCAGGCGGCGGAGAAAACGCCGCACCCCCAGCTGCCAGCGCCGATGGCTGGCAGCAAGGAAAGGAACCTGCGCGGCGCGCGCGCCGCGCGCGCGCAGAGCCGCCGCGACGCGGGATCCCAGCGGCGGCCAAGCGAACAAACAGCCAGCGATGGCAGCGCCGCGCGGCGCGGCGCGCGGCCCCCCCTCGCAGGCCGCTCCTGCGCGGCGTCGCGCTCGTCGGCGGACATGGCCGCCGACGCCCCGCGCGCCCGTTCGCTATCGCGCGCGCTTGTGCCTGCCAAGCAAACGAGTTTGTGGGCCTACATCATCAACAACAACAACAACAACAACAACAAACAACAACAACAACAACAACAACAACAACAACAACAACAACAACAACAACAACAACAACAACAACAACCACAACAACCACAACAACAACGACAACGACAACGACAACGACAACGACAACGACAACAACAACAACCACAAAAACAATTACAACAACAACAGCAGCAGCAACAGCAACAACCACAACAACAACAACAACAACAACAACAATAACAACAATAACAACAACAACTACAATAACAACAAACGGAAGGGGGTCCGGGGCTGCTGCCGCACCCCCAAAGCTCATCCCGCAGGGCCGCCCCGACGGGGGCGGCGCAGAGGCGCAGCTCCCGGGGGTGGACCAATCGGCATCGAATCGGGCACTCGGATCGGATCAGGAGGTGCGCCGGATTGGGCTGCATCTCAGTATCGTTTATCCGATCCCCATCCCCATCCCCATCCCCTTCGATACCCCCACCAAATTACCACCCCAGTTGCGGATACATGATGCACCCCTCGAGACCCGAAGGGAACGACCTATATCGGCCAGTGGGGCCCAGGCCACGCCGCTGGGGATGGGGATCGGATAATCGATATTCAATATCAGCACGGAGTCGGAATCGAATCGGATCGGCCGCGCCAGGACACAGAACAGCGTCATGCAGGCGTCGGGCCGAATCGGATCGCCCGAACATCGGGACCGAATCGAAGCGGGCTGGCCAGAGTCGACAGGTCATCGCATCCATCGGATCGAAAGTGACTATGCCCAGGGCAGCGCCTCGTCCAGCAGGTCGGAGACTCCGTCCCCGTCGCTGTCCTTCGCGGCCTCCTCCGCGTCGCCAGAGCAGCCCTCCTCGGGCGGGCGACGGACAGGAGGGGCGGCCTCAGGAAGCACGTACGGACATCGTGCTTCGGCGGTGGACAAACCTCCCTTTAGTAAACCACCCTTCAGTGAAAACGGCCTGGGACCGAAACCGACGGACCTGGACCCGCAAAAACGACGGCCACGACGCCCTCTCGCGAACCGAAAACGGCCAAGTCGATAATCGACGTGTCAGGGTAGGTCTATCCACCTCCGCGTACTGCACACACGGAACACCGGATGTGGAACCCAAGGGAGCGCTTGGGGCGTCTCCGGCCACGGCTTGCCTCGGCCACTAGGTTCCCCGACGCCAGATCTGAGGCACGGCCCCAGACCAGAGCCACTCCTGGGCCCGAATCACAGGGCTGAATCTAAGCGGTGTTTTTCGTGTTCGTTTTGTTTTCGTCTTCCCTTTGCCGCAAAACGAAGTCCGCCTTTGCCGCAAAACGAAGTCGAAACGAAAACGGCCCAAGAAACCACCAAAAACACTGTTTAGGTCCAGCCCTGCCAAATCAGTCCTTGTGTCGGCGCCTCGACTGCAGGCAGGCATTGACGGCGCGCACGATGGGGTCGGGGGAGAGGGGGAGGACTCGTAGAAACACTCCTGCTTCCTAGAAGGCGCGGCCTTACCTGTGGATGCAGGGCCACCGCATTCTAAGAAGCAGCCTCCTAAGAAGCCTTCCCAACTCACCCTATAGTGCGGATGCGGCCGCAAGAAATCCTCGCCAGAAGCCCAGACCTAAGATGCAACTGGGGGGGAAGCCCAGGGCACTCTGAACGCAGCAGCTTCTTCGACGGCCGTGGGAAGTCACCGCGCAGCGCAAGGAGCGAAGAAGTTCAAGGTACCCTCAAGACAAGCATATGGTTTTTGATGCGCGCCCCCACTGTACCCCCTCGTGCGCCGCGGGGATGCGAGAGGTGGCGATGGAGAAGAGGCACTGGAGGACAAGGAGCAAGACGAAACCAGGACGGGGACAGATTCGGGTGAGGAGGAGGAGGAGGACCAAAACGAAGCCAGGACGAGGACAGGTTCGGGTGAGGATAAATCGGGAGTATCTGAGACCCGGCACCTCCTGAGGATGTCGCGGGCCACCCGGGCTTCTCGGAGCTGGTGCTCCCGGCCGAGGCGACCCCCTCGTGCAGGGCCGCACGAGGCCGGCGGGCGGGGTCCCGAGTAGGACGAAGCCAGGACGAGGGCAGATTCGGGCGAGGGCAAGTCGGGAAACTCTGAGAATCCGGAGGATGTCGTTGTCTTCCCTGGACGCTACAGCTCCGTGGCTTCAGCCCACCCCACGCGGAGAGATGGCTGTGCAGGTCCAGGCGGGCAGCACGTGCGCACGCACTCGCGCACGTGCTGAGAGCCGATGCCGCTGTGACAGCTGGTGAGGGCCCACGCCGATCACCATCCCGCGCCACCACCCCAAGCAGGAGGAGTCGCGACCCCATGAAGCCCCAAGCAGGAGGAGGAGGAGGAGGAGGAGGAGGAGGAGGAAGAAAACGGAGTTGCAGTGGGGAACCAAACAAGGTACCGATACCGCTACTCCCGGTACCTCTCCCGGGGTGCATTCTGACCAAGGCGAGGAGGAAGGAGAGGGCGAGGGCGAGGGGAGGGGAGTAAGGAGGCACAAAGGCGGGGCGGAGGCGGGGGGGGGGCGGAGGTGGAGGCCCTGATATCTGTTCCCGGGACAAGGAACTGGAGGCACACCGGGAGCGCCAACCAGGCAGACTGCATACTACAGCCAGGCCCCAGCTGCGGCCTGGAGAGATATGACATTGTCGTGGCCATGTATGTAGTCTCGGGCAGAAGCCAAGCAAGAACGACCGCGTGAGTCAAACCAAAGCGACGCTATGGCTATGGTTACGAAGCGCACACTGACTAACATTTGGGGGTGAAGCTATCGCCGCACTGGGGTTACGTACAGCGGGTATCACTTCAAGCAAAGCGATCATGCACTTCAGCTGGCACAAGTTCCAGGTGATCGAGCACCCACCTAGAACAATGGCGTGCCCGCGGTACAATGCAGCATAAGCCACAAAAGAAGCATGACGAAGCCAAAACGCGCCAGTCCGCACGATAGGCAAACTCTGATGCGAAGCAGCCAACGAGGTTGGGCACTGGAAGCGGCTGGGGTGTCTGCGCTGGACCGGCCCCGAGAGAATCACCCAAGAAGGGGGACGAGGGCAAACCGCTCAAAATCTGTCTCCAGACCCTTCCTGGGGTCTGCCGCCGCAGACCCCGAGCCGCGTCCAGACATGGCGACGAAGGGGCCCCTTTTCTCCCTCTGGGCCACCTGAGTCCCCCAGCTGGCTCCAAGTTGAGCAAGCCATGCGTCCACCAAGCCGGGGCATCGCCAGCTTGGCACTGGCAACGCGTGCCGTGCATCACAACGTGGCACGCGGACAGTCCGCACGGTTAAGAGGGGGAACAGGGGGGAGACAGTGAAGGGCCCACAGCCAGGCGGGAAGTGACGGACGAACAACACACACCCATACTCATAGGAGGGTCGGAGGGAGAAGGACTGGCTATGGGTACGGGTGCGGGTTGTCGGACCTTGGAGGAGGCTCCCGTTCGGACGGGGACACCCATCCGACAACATGCACCCACAGCCCCCGCCGTCCCACCTATGGGCACGGGTGCGTGCTGCTCGTTCGTCAGGAAGGGAGGGGGGCAGGAGAGACGCCGGCGACGGGGTCGGGAGAGGGCGGGGGGGGCAGGCGGAAGGGGGGGGGGGAGGGGAGGGTGCGAGGGGGAGAGGCCCATGGGGGGGGGGGGGGGAACGAGGGGAGAGGGGTGCGCAGGCAGCGGCGGGGGGGGGGCGGGGAAGGGTGCGAGGGGGAAAGGCGGGACGGGGGGAGCTCGCTCACGAACCCCCCACTCCCGCCCCTGAGCGAATCCAGGGGACTCCCGCGCCCTGCTGGGGATGCCTCAAGAGGCTCCCCGAGAGGCCCTCCAGAGGGCTGCACTGTCTGTCGAGATTGCCCCTGGCCACTCGCTGCCCTCCTCTCGCACGCCGCTGCTCTGGCTGGGTTCCTCAAGCGATGCCACTGCAGCGCGACGGTGGCGCTGCCCTGCAGTGGTGGCGAAGGACCCCACCAGTGCAGCACCACGACGGCAGGAGGAAGGAGCGGCCCCACCACCGCGGAACTACGGCAGCACGATGAGAAGGTATTGGTCACGTCTGCGGTGCAAGTCAGGGGCTAGCAGGCGGCAAGCATCAAGCCAGAAACATCCACTCGCTGTCACCGCCGGCTGGGCAAACGTCACCAGATCAGCTGGCTGTTAGCACTTCAGCCCGGCAGCTGGGAGACAGGGATAGGCTCATCAAGGACAGCAGTATTGCTCTTAGCGTAACAGGGGATGCTTACCCTCCCACACTCGCTGTAGAGTAGATATGAGGTGGTCACTGCTGGGCCCCCCATGCAAGCTTACTAGCCCGTCCTGATTCGGTCATGCATCCACAAGCCATGCAGATAAAGATCACCCAATCCAGGGTATTCAGTCACATGCAGGTGGTGGGAGCGCGAGTTCGCAAATTAAGCAGGGAGCTCGGGGTGAGCCCGCTTACAAGCAGATGTGGGTAGGGGAGGGACCCGCAGGCTGCGCTGGACTGCATCCACGCCCAGCTGTGGCCTCACACGGTTAGACCAGCGGGCACAGCAGCGTCGATATCAGGACGAGGGACAGGAGGGGAGGGGCAGGGGCAGGGGCAGGGGCGGAGGGAGGGCCCTGCAACCGCGCCCAGGATCTCGTGACCAGCTGCTGCACCAGCATGGGCTCTCCCCGTAGCTGCCCCTCCCCTGGCCAACTGCTGCTTCGGACGAGGGGGGGCCAAGGAGCTCCAGCGCAGCAGTGCCTTACATACGCATTTAAGGTTCTGGGCTAAAGCCTCACACTCGCGAGAATGCTCGTCAAGCTCAGCAGTCGAAGAGCGCGGGTGCCAAAGCGCCCCCGATTTAGCAAATGAATCGGCCCCATAGTTCCCTACCTAGGCTCTGCCTAGAAGGGTTCTTACTCTCTGGGCTTAAAGGGGCCAGACAGGGGAAAGCGCCCCGGGCGGTTCCCCCAGTATCCGCCCCGCGGCTCCCCCAGTTACGTCCCCTTAGCTTCGCGTTGCTTATCTCATCTTAGCTTAGCCCATGTATTATTAGGTTAGCTTAGCTTAGTTTAGCTTAGCTTAGCATAGCTCAACGCTGCATTAGCATGACCTAGCATAGCATAGCATAGCACATCATTTCATTGCATAGCATAGCATATCATACCGTATAATTGCATAGTATAGCATAGCGCAGCTTAGCATAGCATAGCATAGCATAGCTTAGCATAGCACAGCGCAGCATGACATTGCATAGCAAAGCATGGCATAGCATAGCATAGCATAGCGCAGCATAGCATAGCATAGCATAGTATAGCATAGCATAGCATAGCGCAGCATAGCATAGCATGGCATAGCATAGCATAGCATAGCAACTAATGCTGCCTTCCTAGGGGCTCCAACTTCTAGGTAGGGTCGCACTGGGGTAATTGCCTTTAGCCTGGTACCACTCCGCGCTTCAGGGAGTGAGGCTATCCAGATCTACATGGGCTTTCACTTGCTAAAAATATAACTGCTCACGCGGACTGGGTAAGATACCAATGCCAAGAAGCTTCACTCCAGCATATCAAGACCGTCGATCAAAGACAGCCTGAGGAGCCTTATCTCTGTAGCACTCACGAAGGCAAGGGGGACGGGGAAAGAGAGAGGTATGGAGGGAATCCCACCAGCCCTCTGGGCGTAGGTGGTCTAAAGCGGTTTCTCTTCCAACCCCTCTCCTCTTCCCCTTCGGGGAGGGGTTTATCACAGTTCCCTATTAATATACACCCCCTCCCTAAGGCGACCGGCAGCCAACCAGGAACCATGAGGACACCATGCGCCCCGCCCCGCATCTTCCCTGTCGAAACACAATACAACACGCACTCTGCCTCCACGTTTGGAGCAGGCGCGGCCAATCCGATGCGGCCCCCCCGCCATCTCCGACAAAAACAATACACAGTACAATCTGAGGCAAAGTCTTGAGTCATGTTCGTGAGACCCGCGAGCACTTTCTATTGTTGTTGACAAGGACGGCGAGGGTGTCAGCATATTGCTTGCTGTGCTCAGGGCTACCATCCCTAACAACAAACAATACAACATGCACCTCGCGGCTAAATCTGGAACATTCGCGGTCACCCCGCGATCACTGTCAAGTGTTTTTTGACAGGGACTGCGGGAGTGGTAGCGTATGGCCTGCTGTGCGCAGGCCCACCAGACACAATGATGGGCATTGCTTTTCGACCAGGATGGTGGGGGCCGACATGTTTCCCGATGTGTGCTGCCACGTGCGCAGGCGCACCTGACACACTCTACACGTGCCCCGAACGTGGTGCACCTGGCGCGGCTGAGTATGCTGCGCACCTGGCGCACGCGGAGCACGTGGCGCATCTGGCGCAGCAGGCGTGCCTGGCACGCTCGGGCCACATGCAGGAGCGGCAAATGGTAGCGAACCCCCTGACGGAGGGCCGTTCCGCAGAGACTCGCCACTAAGGGACAGCAAGCAGCAGATAGCTCTCACGACAGGCGCATGCACATGTTCTGAGAAGCCGCGCGCCAACGGCGAGTGGCAGCAGGTCCCCCAGAAGGAGACCTTTCCGCATAGACTCGCTGCTCTGGAACAACTTGCAACAGTTAACAACGCATGAAGATTGCACGACCGCTCCCATGCAGCAATCGAGTCCGGCAAGCGCGTTGCTATGCTCCTCGGGGACAGCGTGCTGCAGAAAGCTGTCAATTGCAAAATTTGTGCAAGCCAAAACCATAGGTATCAGCAGAGCAGGTTGTGTCTCTTGCTGTCTCGTTCGCTCTATGGCGTCTCGTGCTGCTTCAGCAGCCTCCCTTTGAAGGCGCCGTCGGCATGGCGTGGGAGTATTGACCTATGAGTGGAACTGGTGTTGCGACGTAGCCCTGGTAGGCTCTGCCATCTGCTCTAGCCCAAGGAAGCACAAATACACCCTACTCACTGAAAGAGCACAGCCTGGCCCTCCACAGTGGGATTCCAGCACAGGGCGCTGCATCACAGGCCACAGGCGGCCTGAACTGCACTGCGTTGCAGGCACGAGAGACCTCCAAGGACTGCAACTGTTGCCTCGATCAGGGGCGCTTGGGACTCTGATGGTGTTTGGGACCAGCGTGTGCCACGAGACGAGTGTAGATGATGGGAGTATGCGCACATGCGCGCCGCATTGCTGGCAAGAGGGCGTGCAAAAGAAAGCGCCTGCGGGCGCGTGGCCGAAAGGAACAGCGGCAGGCCGGCTGTGGCAAAGAGATAGCTACAGACGCTGGTTGGCTTGGCGCGGTCGCCGCAGCGACTAAAAGGGAGCCAGGCCCGGCCGAATGCTCTACCTCAGACGGCGCGGGAGAAGAAGGAGGACGGACGACGTCAGTATGCTCCCACTTCACGCCCAGGCCGTCTTCGTCCTTCTGCTTTTGCTGATGGCCGAATAAAAAATGCGTACATGGTATGTTTTGGAGGTCCGCGCGGGTTTATTGGATCTGCGCTGGGCCCCATGCCCTGGCGCGCCATGGTCGGCGTCAGAGGCGCCGCGCGGAGCTGCGAGCGTTACGTTCATGAACGTTTGTCCTTCGTCGAGCTGGGGCCCCTGCTCCTCCAGATCGCGCCTGTGAGCAGAGGAGGCGGATCAGGGGACACAGCAGCACGAGGAACTTTTGCGTCGGCGGCTAGGCAGGGCAACTGCGCTGGCGAAAGAGCTAGCTAAACGGGGGCACCGTCGTAGGGAAGTGAGCCACAATGCAAGAAATATAATAAAAAGTGGGAGGGCGGCCGAACGCATGCCGCCCTGACGCAAACCAGGGCATGTCGCTGTAATCGAACAACCGGCCGTTCAGCGTGTCGTTGCGTCCTGACGCGCGGATGCTGAAACAGCGCGCACGCGGCAGGGTTATCGGGCGCAGTGGCAAGCGCCAAATCCAGCGGACGGCCCTTCTCACCCAGGCCGACCCCGGGTAAGGGTATGTTCAGGACCAAATAGGGAGGGGGAGGGCAGCACGAGGAACACGCAGGACAACCGCCGGCGCTGCGCCCAGCTGCGCGGGCCGGCCTCCGCGATGACGACCTCCGAGAGCACCGACGCCATCGGCGCAGGGCCACCACGGCGCGCGCGACCGCGCGGGCCCCGCCGCGCCGTGCGAAGGACGGCCGCCGGCGCTCCGCCCAGCTCTGAGGGCTGGCCTCCGCGATGACCTCCCGAGCGCGTCGACGCCAGCGGCGCAGGGCCCGAACGGCATGGCCAGGGCTGTGCCGCGCGCTGTGCCCTCCTGCCGATCGACTCTAGCCGCGAGGCAACCCAGCTAGGAGCAGCGGCCGTGGTACGGGGGGGGCAGGGCAGCGGCCGAGAGGGCGGCGGGTGGCGCAGGGCCCGCAAAAGGCACCCGAGGCCTGACCTGGGCCAGCGCGAGGGGGGGAGGGCGGGAGGGAGGGCCGTCGGACCGAGGCACGCGCAGCGTGCGGAGATCCATCGAATGCTGATGGCTCCAGGGAGCGCAGAGCTGAAAAGGAAAGAAGGGTGGAGAGGAAGGTAGCCCGGGCCACCTGAGCGGGTAGCGGATGGCGGACAACGGATAGTGGACAGCGGACAGCGGATGCAGCGGTGCGGGGTTCACCCGCGCCCAGGCCCCTCGAGGGCGGTCGGGCTCGCTGGATTACTGTTGAATGTCGGGGAAACAGTGAGGCGGCACATTGCGGATGTCAGAACGAGCGGCGGCTGCTCTAATTCCAAGGCAGGAGGGAGAGAGTGGAAGGAGGGAGGAAGGTGGAGCAGGGAAGGAAGGAAGAAGACGGAGGGAGAAACCGGAAAGACATTGGGAGATGTAAGGATGAGGGAGTGGAAGAAGGGGAGCTGGGGAATGAGGGAGAAAGGGGGGAATGAGAGACCAGGTTGGGATGTGCCGAGGGAGTGCTCATCAATATTTCAAAACACGACAGCCTTAATGATGTCAGGGGGGGCGAATAACTGCAAGCAGTGGACAATTGACACGCAAGTGGAACGCTGGTCTCCTCCCAGCACAGCGCATTGTGCGGAGCTGGATCCTCACTGTCAGGCACCTGCGCCGCAATAGCGCAAACTAACATGTAATGAGAAACAACATATGCAACTGCCATTGTGATAGCACCAACCGCGATGGCAACACACAGGAAACTCAAGAGACAGATCGATCAGCATGCGCGGCAGCAAGCGTACTTTGCGTGCGCGTGCGAATCTGGTAAGCATACTGGTACGCTTGACTGATATGACGAGGCCGGAGACCATAAGAAACTACTGGCTTCATTCGTGTGCAGGCAGCCGCCTCGCCCATCGCGGACTCTGATGCGGACTCAGCCTCTGGTGTCGCTCCTGGCCGTCTTCCCCGCCCCCGTCCGCCCATCCCTCAAAAAGCCTTCCTCCACCTCCCCTCTCGTCCTGCTTCTCCTCCGATTTGATATCTGGCTCAAATACTTGACATAAAGATTAATTGAAAAACGCCCCGGTTCCGCGATTGCGGCACCATCCTGTCAACATCGAAACCAATATGGTATCATCGAATGTGTTTCGGTGCATCACTGGAAACAAAAACAGTGACCGTAACTTGACCGGGGCATCCATTAAATCCGAGCAGCGCGCCATCGAAACAGAACAACGACACATCGGCAAACGAAACGGGACACCATCGGAACATGTTCGAGATACTATAGTTAGAACCATCATCAAAACATCGTCAGGGCACCCTCACCGGATCAAGATTGACACGACTGTATCCGGAGACACACAGACTAGTAAAAACACCATCGGGGCAACTGTGAGACACAATCACAAGTCAATCAAGACACCACCAGGGCACCATCGAAACTCATTGCAGACGACATCGGGACACCATCGCAGACTAATGGGAGCACCATCGGCATACTATGAGGACACTCCGACAAGCTTCCATCATAAAAGAAGCTCAGCGGCAGCAAAACAGCAGAAGCCAAACTTGTCCACCGCGGGGCTAGATCCCTCGACATCCGCGCGGAAGTTCGCACACATGCCACTCACGACTCGAAACGCGAGGCTGCGTTTTGTAGTGGGGTGTCAGCCTCACAGAGGCCCTCACGCCCCCAAGTACCCTTCATGCGTGAACGCACATTTGCAGGGATTGGACGAAGGCCTCCGACACCAGCCCACTGAGAAAGGGGTCGTGATCAAGAGGCAAGATGGGGCATGAGGAGGCGCGTGCGAGGGAGCAGGTCGCCCAGAAGAGGCAGCGAGCTTCTCACGGCTGGAAGAAAGAGAGAGAGAGAGAGAGCGAGCGAGAGAGGGAGGAAGAAAGAGGGCGCGAGAGAGAGAGAGAAAGAGAGAGATGAGAAGAGAGGGAGAGAGAGAGAAGGATAGAGGAGAAAGGGAGAAAGAGAGAGGGAGAGAGGAGGAGACAAACAAAAAACATATAAAGTGAGAGAATGGACAAAGTGCTTAGAACCAGCAACCACCAAGCATGGGGATCGGGAAGGAGGTCATTGCCCTCGGGCACCCCATCGGCATCCGCATCACCATCCTTGATGCAGGACTCCTCCCAGCATCTCGGGTCGTAGGGCGCAGCATCCTGAAGGAAAGTGTGGAGCCAGCAGGAGCAGTCTTGAGGCAGAGGGAGCTGCGGACGGTCAGTGGACGGAGGGACGGGGACTTGCGGCGAGCCCAGGAGGAACGTGAGAGGGGGGCAGGCCTTCTAAGTTCTAAGAGGCGGTGGGGCTCCTCAGAAGCCCTCGCGCCCTCTGAGAAGCTTCCCGTGCCCTCTCCGACTCCGAGGGCACAGAACACCTCTCGGGAGGCTGGAGGGCATCTGAGAAGCTCCGCCGCCATCCGAGAAGGCCCGCCCCCACTCACCTCCCCCCTGGGCGCGCCGCGGAGGGGAGGAGAGGAATGAGCATCGCTTGACCGACCCCCATCCCCATGGGCGAGGCCTGGTCCCCACTGGCCGATTTACCCCCCGTGGATGGGGGTGTAGGCTGCTTCCTGAGGCGGTAAACTGGTGGGGCTCGGGATGGGGATGGGGACGAGGATAGGGATCGCTGAAACGATGCTGACCCCCTGGGCTCGCCGCCGAGGGGAGGAGAAAAGAGGGTAGAGCCCTCCGGACCCTGGGCCGCCGAAACCCCTCACGACAAACCAAATCGGATTCGGGACTTCCTGTCCCGAATGCCCCCCCAGTGGCAAGATGATCGCCGGAGAGAAGAAGGGAGGGAGGTGAAAAGGAGGGGAGGAGGTGAAAGAGATGGAGGCAGGAACACGGAGGGCGAAGGGGCACGACGAGGAAGAAGGGCATGAGCTGGTTTCGCCCGCGCTGGTTTCGCCAGCGCTGGTTTCGCCCGGCTGGTTTCGCCGACGGCTGGTTTCGAAGGCGTTTGTTTGGCCCCGCTGGTTTCGCCCCGCTGGTTTCGCCAGCGGCTGGTTTCGCTGGCGCTGGTTTCGCCGGCGTTGGTTTCGCCTGCGCTGGTTTTGCCGACGCCGTCGGCGTCGCTGTCGCCGCCGTCGCCGCAGTCGTCTTCGCCGTCGGATCAAGTCGGGCGGGAAACTAAAGTGTGGGGCACGCTCGACCGAGCACGCGCGAACCCTGAGGGGCGGGTCGGGTCGGGCGGGCGGACCCATAGCGGGCGGGTCCGGTCGGGCAGTTTCGGCGACGGCAGCTGGCTTCGCAGACGGCAGCTGGCTTCGCCGACGGAAGCTGGCTTCGCCGACGGCAGCTGGTTTCGCCCGGCGGCGAGACCAGCGGGGCGAAGTCAGTGGAGCGAAACCAGCCGTCGGCGAAACCAGCGGTGACTGGAAGAAGTGAGGAAGAGGAGGAGGAGGCGAGACGAGGAAGGGGCAGAGGGGTGAAGGCCACTCAGGCGCACGAACTCCAGACGGCCCAAGAGCGGAGATACGGGAGCGACATGCTGTCCCGCCTACAGCGTACAATCGGACTAGGGCTGAACCTAAACGCTGATTTTCGTTTTGTTGTCGTTTTGTTGTTCGTTTTCTTCTACCTGTTTTCCTGTACTTCCCTGCCAAAAATAAACAAAGCACAGCCGAAGTCCAGCAGAACAGCGTTTAGGTCCAGCCCTGAATCGGACCCTCAAACAGAAGAACATCCTCCAAGAACATGAGACCCTCCGCCGGCCGGAACACACAGAACATCCAAGGGCACCCTCCCCAGAATGCACAAGAACATCCAGCAAGCACTAAGAACACTAACGAGGTACCCTCCCCCAACGACCTCGATCTTCTCCCTCGGACCGACCGTACTGTCTCTCATTCTGTCGGGTCCTACTCGAACCTTCAGCGCAGGCGGAATCAGGGTGCCGGACATGGTTTGAGGATTGGTTACTGCACCATGAACCTACAATGTCTGTGAGAATCCGCCATCGCGCCGCGCGGAACTGAGTCGAGTATGCCCTCGAGTGCCGCGGAATTCTCTGCACTGAATCCCACCAACTCTGGGCGTGAGTGGCTTAGAGCGTCTCCTGTACCCCCCTTCTTCCCCTTCAGGAAGGGGCTTCTTTGATTGGATACAACATGCAGTCATCATGACGTCCCCCTCCCATGAGGAAATCCCACCAGCCCTCTGGGCGTAGGTGCCCTAGAGAGCTTTCTCTTCAAACCCCCTCCTTCCTCTTCGGGGAGGGGTTTAGCACTGCTCCCTATTGATATACACCTCCTCCCCCAGACGACCGGCTGCCAACCAGGAACCGTGAGGACACCGTGCTCTCACACACACACACACCATCCCGGTCAAAAAACAATACAAAACGAACTCTGCCACCACATTTGGAGCATGCGCGTCCAACCCGATGCGGCGCCCCCCACCATCCATGTCGAAAAAGCACTACAAAGTACATGTTGGGGTCCTGTTCGTGAGGCCCTCGAGGACTTTGTATTGTCTGCTGCCCATCCCTAACAACACATGTTAACCAGCGTGGGTCCCAAACAGTAGGTTATCGCAGCCTTTGCGGTGCAATATATCTAGTTACATCGACATATATGTATATATATATATATATATATATATATATATATATGTGAACTGTAGTGCGATGTATGCGATGCAACCGTAGATATAGATATACATATATATATATATATGTGGTGCAGTATACGCGGTGCAACCCATGTAATGCAATATATGCCGTGCAACCTATGTGGTGCAATGTATGTGGTGCAATCTACGCGGTGCAACCTATGCAATGCAATCTATGCGGTGCAATATGTGTGGTGCAATCTACGTGGTGCAATCTAAGCGACGGCTACGGCGTCGACGGGCGGCACCACCCGCAAAAGCCGCCACTCGCCCCGAGCGGCTGCGACGGCGACGACGGCGACGGGCGGCACCACCCGCAAAAGCCGCCACTCGCCCCGAGCGGCGGCGACGGCGACGGCGGCGACGGCGGCGGCGGGCGGCACAGCCCGCAAAAGCCGCCACTCACCCCGAAATGGTTAAGCCAAGTAAGACCTCTAAGTGCAAGCAAAGTGCACCTCGCGGCTAAATCTGGATCATGCGCGGCCACCCCGCGATCACTGTCAGATGGTCTTTGACTGGGACGGCGGGGGTGGTGGGGTACGGCCTGCTGTTTGCAGGCCCACCAGACACAGTGATGGGCATTCGTGTTCGGCATGGATGGTGGGGGCCAACATGTTTCCCGATATGTGCTGTCACGTGCGCAGGCGCACCTGACACACTCTGCACGTGCCCTGGACGTGGTGCACTTGGCGCGGCTGGAGTATGCGGCACGCCTGGCGCACGCGGAGCAAATGGCGCATCTGGCGCACCAGGCGTGCCTGACACGTTTAGGCAACAGGGGTGCCTGCCGCGCGTGGCGCGCCTGGCACGCGTGGCGCACCTCGCCCTAGCGTCGCGCACATGGGGTCGGTGTTGGTTTCCAGTAGCTGCCCATCCAAAGACGACCGCTGAACATGCTCAGGCTCGGGTGTTACTGATGTGTCGGGAGGGCGGGTGGGAGTGAGCTAGACGGCTTGCTATCTAGGGGGTGCCTTGATCCCTCCCCCGACCCCCTCCCCTGGACCTGGAGGAGGGGGGTTCCGCGGGTCGCTGGAGCGTTCAAGATGGCGCTAGGAGACCTGATGGCCCAAGATAAACCAAGATGGCGCCAACTGGCTCACAAAATGCTTGAAGAGGCCCCAGGACCGCTACAAAACGGCCCTGAATGGCCACGGAGCCCCCCCAGGAGGCCGCCAAGAGGCCAAAATCCTTCAATAACCTAAGCAACGTGAATGAATTGTTCCTGCTCGACGTTTTGCTTGCCATGCCCTTCTGAGGCCTCATGATGTCTGCAAGAGGACCCATGAAGGCTCCAAGAGAGTCCCAAGAGAGCCCCAAGACGGCCCCACGAGCGCCCGAGGGGGAGTGGAGGGGCCGTGTCGGCGGAACCCCAAAACGCCTGAGCGTGAGCCGAATGTTCAGAGGAAATGCAACCGCCGCCGAAGCAAGAGCGCCAGGGCGGATATACGGTGTCCAACCACAAAAATGCCTTTTTCAGATTCAACAGGAACTAGGAAAGACTCAGGGCCTCTGGGAACCTTGAATAAAAGCGGAGTAAATATCAAGCGGGAGCGTCGTTGTTTGCAGGGGGCCGCGTGCGGCGCCGAGGCGGGAGCGCCCGTCCTGAGCCGAAGTGCAAGGAAGCATCGCGCGGGAGCGCCAATTTTGTTGGAAAACCTGCTTTCGGCGGCGAGCAAAAGCCCGGGTCCCGAGCAGAAAAGGAACTACTGAGCGGGAGCGTTGTTGGTGGTGGTGGTGGTGGTGTTGTTGGTGTTGTTGTTGTGGTTGTTGCTGTTGCTGCTAATGTTGCTGTTGTTGTTGAGCTCTCATCAGTGAGAAATAGAATATTGTTGATCCCCCCTCCAGTGCACAGTGTATTTTTCAGTTGAAATGCCCCTCCCGGCGTTCGCACCCTGCCGCTGGTCCCCAGGTTACATCAACATCGGCGCCCGCCTGGAATTTCCTTACAATTTAGCCAGGACCCCGTTCCCGCGTGGGACGTCCTCGCACGTGATTCGGGAATCGCGCTCTCGCTTGGGACTTCCTTACAAACTATTCAGGAATCGTTCTCTCAGCGCACTGGAATCGCGCTCTCGCGGGAGACTTGCTTACAAGTTTCTCAAAAATATCGCCCTTGCAATGGATTTTCCCGCAATTTACTCAAGCGCCGCGCTCCCGATACTCAGGCACCCAGAAGTCGCGCTCACGTTTAGGACTCCCTCGCACATTACTTAAGAATCGGGGACTCGCGGTCTTTCGTGGCCCCTTCGCTGCCCTCTGTGGCCCCGTTGCAGCCACTCGTGGCCCCCATCGCTGCCCTTCGTGGCCCCCTCGCTGCAGCCATTCGTGGCCCTTTCGCTGCCCTCCGTGGCCCCGTTGCAGCCCTGCGTGGCCCCCTCGCTGCCCTTCGTGGCCCCGTTGCAGCCCTTCGTGGCCCCCCTCGCTGCCCTTTTCGTGGCCCCGTTGCAGCCCTTCGTGGCCCCCTCGCTGCCCTTCGTGGCCCCGTTGTAGCCCTTCGTGGCCCCCATCGCTGCCCTTCGTGGCCCCGTTGCAACCCTCCGTGGCCCCGTTGCAGCCCTGCGTGGCCCCGCTGCAACCAGTCGTGGCCCCCATCGCTGCCCTTCGTGGCCCCGTTGCAACCTTTCGTGGCCCCCTCGCTGCCCTTCGTGGCCCCGTTGCAGCCCTGCGTGGCCCTTTCGCTGCCCTTCGTGGCCCCGTTGCAGCCCTTCGTGGCCCCCTCGCTGCCCTTCGTGGCCCCGTTGCAGCCCTGCGTGGCCCCCTCGCTGCCCTTCGTGGCCCCGTTGCAGCCCGTCGTGGCCCCCTCGCTGCCCATCGTGGCCCCGTTGCAGCCCTTCATGGCCCCCTCGCTGCCCTTCGCGGCCACGCTGCAGCCCCTCGTGGACCCCCCGCAGCCATACGTGGCCCCGTTGCAGCCGTTCGTGCCCCCCTCGCTGCCCTTTTCGTGGCCCCGTTGCAGCCCTTCGTGGCCCCCTCGCTGCCCTTCGTGGCCCCGTTGCAGCCCTTCGTGGTCTCCATCGCTGCGCTTCGTGGCCCCGTTGCAACCCTTCGTGACCCCCTCGTTGCCCTCCGTGGCCCCATATATGCATGCCCTTCGTGCCCCCCGCTCGTTCGCGCCCGACGTGGCCTCATGTGCATGCCTTTTCGTGGCCGCGGTGTCGCCTTTCGCGGGCCCCTCGCTGCCCTTCGTGGCCCCGTTGCAGCCCTCAGTGGACTCGTCCTTGCCCTCCGCGGCCCAGTATACGCATGCTCTTCGTGGCCCCCGCTCGTGCGCGCCCGTCACGGCCTCATGTGAATGCCGTTCGTGGCCCCGTTGTCGCCGTTTGCGGCCCCCTCGCTGTCCTACGTGGCCCAGTTGCTACCCTCAGTGGCCCCGTCGTTGCCTTCTGTGGCCCCGCATGATCTGCCCCTCGTGGCCCCCGCTCGTTCGCGCTCCTCGTGGCCCCATACGCATTCCCTTCGTGTCCCCGATGTCGCCCTGCGTGGCCTACTTCGTGCCCTTCGTGGCCCTGCTGTCGTTCTCTCTCTCGCTCTCGCTTTCGCTCGTCGTCGTCGTCGTCGTCGTCGCCTTCGTCGTCGTCGTCGACGTCGTCGTCGTCGGTCCCCTGTCCGTCCCTCGTGGGGTCGGGTTGCCGCCGATCAGCGCTGCCGCTGGCCAAGCCGACGGTCCGCGGCCGCCCCGCCGTTTGCCAGGGCAAGGTCTGCAAGGAAGAAATGCATACCTCCCAAAAAGGGTATGCTCGAAGACGCAGAGGGCGGATATCGAGGGTTTGGGGAAATACGCGTTAACGGACAATCGAACAGATAAGAGCGAACACTTAAAACGATTGTTGTTGTTGTGTTTGTTGTTGTTGGCGGTGTTGGTGTTGTTGTTGGTGGTGGTGTTGTTGGTGGTGTTGTTGTTGGTGGTGGTGTTGGTGTTGTTGGTGTTGTTGTTGGTGTTGTTGGTGCTGTTATTGTTGTTGTTGTCGGGGGTCCCGTTCCGGCGAGACCCCGAAACGCCTGAAACGCCTGAGCGCGAGCCTCATTTTCAAAGGAGCAGCCAGCGCCGCGCCAGAGCGGATGTACGGTGTCGAGAAACGAATACTCTTTAGCATTCAAGGTTCAAGAACCCTGCCACGGAACCCCACGTCAGCCACGCACCCAGGGACATTCATAACCGGTCGGCCCCCTCTCTCTGATCAAGGGAACAAATTCGAATGGTATCGGGTTCCCGAGCGGGGAAAGACGAATTGACAGTTAGTCGGAGGCGAGCCCAATATGAAATGAGAAGGAGCGGGCCTTCTCACAAGGGTCGGAAGTCCCCCGGCCCTCTGAGAAGTTTCCTAAGCCTTCCCCGAAGCAGCAGGAAGCATCTCGGAAGGCGCGAGGGGCGTCCGAGAAGTCCCGTCGCCTTCCGAGAAGTCCCGTCGCCTTCCGAGAAGGCCTTCTCCTTCTCACTTCCCCCCCTCGCTCGCCGCCAGTCTAAGATCTAAGATGGCATCGGGTGCTCAAGCGAGGGGACACCCATGGAGGACAAGGAGAAGGAAGAGGAGGAGGAGGAGGAGGAGGAGGAGGAGGGGCAGGGGGGAGGAGGAGGAGGAGGAGGAGGAGGAGGAGGAGGAGGAGCAGGGGGAGGAGGAGGAGGAGGAGGAGGAGGAGGAGGAGGAGGAGGAGGAGGAGGAGGAGGAGGAGGAGGAGGAGGAGGAGGAGGAGGAGGAGGAGGAGGAGGAGGAGGGAGGGGAGGAGGAGGAGGGAGGAGGAAGAGGAGGAGGAGGAGGAGGAGGAGGAGGAGGAGGAGGAGGAGGAGGAGGAGGAGGAGGAGGAGGAGGAGGAAGAGGAGGAGGAGGAGGAGGAGGAGAATAAGGAGGAGGAGGAGCAGCAGGAGGAGCAGGAGGAGGAGCAGGCACTCCACCCCGAGAGCACACTCGTTGCCGCGTCCAGGCACCCGCAGGGGGCCACCAAGACCCCAGGGGCCCTCCAGAGGCACACCAGACCGGCGCCGGAAGGCTCGGAAGGCGGCGGGACTTCTGAGAAGCCCTAACGCCTTCTGAAAATGGAAAAACGCGTTCCACTACTCGCAAATCAACTACTCGCAGATTGCCTGGATCCGCCGCGGGGGATTCACAATACATTATGTAGAGGAAGACCTCTTTTTGCTGACGTTTGCAAGTAGGCACTTCGCGAGTAGTGGAACGCGCTCGGCGAGAGAAGGTTTCTGTGTCTTCGGGGAAGGCTGAGAAAACTTCTCTGAAGGCTGGGGGGACTTCCGAGCATCCCTCCACCCCGAGATCCCACCCATGGCCGCTTCAGGCAGGTGCCCAAGGATGCCACAAAGGCTCCATGGGGCCCTCCAGAGGCCCCCAAGATAGGCCCCAACAGGCCTTCAAAGATGCCCCCAAGTCGCTCGAAAGAGCTCCTCCTGTACTCACACTCTGAATTCCTGGTCGAGGGAGCAGCGCCTGCAGTGGATAGCGACAAGCGCCACCGCAACAACAGTGATCTAGTATTGGAAAATCCAATCAGTTGGTTCGGCCAACCATCACCTCCATCGTACTTCGCCTGCCTCTGCTCCACACACACACGAAGATTGGGCACCACACATGTAGCCCTTGTCTAGCGAGGCCGCTCTGCCTCCTCACAATTATTGATTGATTTTTCTCTCTCTCTCTCTCTCTTCCCATCGTCCTTCTCCCCTCCCCACGTCCCACACCACCTCCTACTCCTCCTCTTCCTTCTCCTCATCCTCCTATTCATCGCGCTCCACGTTATCCTTTCTGCCCCGTGCGACTCCTCCAGCCGCCAGACCCGACCAATGCACAGAGACGCGGAGAGAGTCCTCGGCGTTGGGCCTGCCGTCACCATCGCTGTCGACGCACGAGGTGTCGTGGCAGGTGTAGTCGTGCGGAGCTGGATCCTGAGACGACAGTTCGAAAGCGAGCGAAACTCTAGAAATGGCGGACGCGAAGTAGGTACGATAAACTGGGCAGGAAACGATGAGAACAGAGATGGGGAGGAGGGAGGAGGACGCAGAGGGAAGATCGAGCGGATGGCAGCGTGGAAGACAAAGTGGCATTACAGAGAAAGTAGGGGAGTGGATGTAGAGTGGAGAAGAATGTGAGAGACATTAGAGACGCGGATATGATAGAAGCAGACGGAGTGGGGCTGTAGGAACGATACAGATAAAGAGAAATAGGTATTGGTACTTCGGGCGGGGCATCATTTGCCGAGCCCCATCTCCGAATACATAACTCCACGTTCCTCGAGTGAGACATGTCGGACGGTGGTGCTCGTCAATAGACTGCCTGCGCCACGCCGTCCTGGAGCCAGGCAGGAGCCTTCAGACAGACACGTGTCACAGCCTGTCCTGGCGCGACCACATATTCCACGAAGGCGTTCCTGCATTCATGCACGGCTGCTGGAGCACCCCCACCACCGACACACCAACCGCCCATGTGCTGCCAAGGTGGTGCTGTCTCGGTGAATCCGCAGCAGAACGCATGCGGAAGCGAAGAACTTCCCGAAGCATCGCCACCGCAATAGAGACACGGGTGTGCCAGCATGGGCGTGCGCGCGAGACTTGATGCCAGGGCAAAGAAGAGCATTATAGATGGTGCTCAATGTGGTCGGCAACGTTATTGCGCTGGCGCGGCGGTCAACGCACGAGGGGGTCCCCAATGACCCGCTGAGAAATGGCAACTGGTCTTGCTCCCAAAACGATGAAGGAATCGGTAAGCGGTTGTCCGCGAGGACATAGATTCGTCGCCCACCTGGGTCACAATGTTCAAATGAAGGTGCTGGTACCGCAAGGGTATACCGTCTATTGACGGAGCGTGACGCCACTCCACGCACAAATCCTTGTGAGTGGGATGAAAGACTAGAACACTGATGTGTCAAACTGTGCACACTGTCTCTGCAAGCTACTGGTCTTGATGTCTCCTATCACTCAGGGGGTCGCGAATACTCAAGATGTCCAGCCAATGGTATCAAAACTCGGCGCATGACCGTGGTCGTACATTGCCACGGCGCCCGCGCCCCAGCCCTTCTCGCCGCCGCTGGCCCCTGAGCCCACGAAGCGAAGAGCCTGCCACTCGAATCGAACGCAAAACCTTCGTGCGCATGCGATGTGGACATCGCCCCAGGTGGTCTGGCTACGCAGCTTTGAACACCGACTTCAAGACGACGCGCAAGTGCAGCGGCCGAGCGGTATAAGCAGTCGGGCCACTCTTGCATCTGGATTGTGATGCTCTGCAGGTAGCCCGACTGCCTCTGAACTCGATATCGCACGAAATTCCATGTACAACGCGTGCGGTCTGAGGTCCACAAGCACAAGCGTATATTGCTGGTTGATGTCAATGCCACGACCGTGGTCGGCAAACTCTGTCGCATGTCGTAGACTGATTCGATTGGTCCGCCCACGTCCTGCCCATTGCCCCTGCCGGTCCTACTCAGAATACACATCCTCTTTCATGTAGATTCCGCAAACGTATATACACATAGATATATGTATACATACGTATACATATACATGTGAGTACATACGCATATATATACAGATATTCATAGATCTGCACATGTACATCTATATATGCACATATATGTTTGCATGTATATACACATACATACACATACGCCTACAGATACATGCACATGAGTATACACATACATGTACACATGCATATGCATATATATGAACACTTATACATATACATATAAATATGACTATGCACATGCATCTACATATGCACATTCATATACATATACATATACAGATACATAGACATGTACATGTACACATACGTCTACATATACATATACATGTACGTATACATTTACATACACATCTACATTTGCATATACATTTACATGTGCATAAACATAGACATATACATATATATATATATATATATATATAGATCGGCATGTATACATGTATACACGCATGCATATACATATATATATATATATATGTGTGAAGCCCACCGCACCATCAGCCGATTCCGTAGGCTGGGCCAAGTGTTTGGCCTCAAACGCCCTTGTACTTGAATATTTTCAGATCCTTCATATTACCCAACTGGCGGTTTCGAACATGCGGCCCTCGCTGGGCGTGGTGCGTAGTTTTACCAAACCCAAGCTGTTACAACAACGGAAGACGCGTAATTTCCAGTGCCGCCGTCGCTTTCGCGCCGCCTGACGCGCACGACGAGGCACGTGGCTCCTCGCTGTCCGGAACTCCGTCGCCGTCGGAGTCCTCCCCGTCGGCACAATCCCCTGAAGAGCGGACGTTTACATTGCGGCGCGAGAGAAGAGGAGAGGAGGAGAGCGCATGCGAAGGAAACATATTGGGCGGAAAATTAAGGAGAAGGAAAACGCAAAAGGACGGAGGGGGGAGGAGGAGGAGGAGAAACGAGGGGGAAGAGAAAAAAAAAGGAAAGGGGGGAGGATGAGGGAAGCAGGGACGAGGAAGCAGGGGCGGGGGATGAAGGAGAAGGGGGGGGGGAAAACAGGATGGAACGTGAAGAGGAGGGAGGAGCAATGGATGAGAGAAGTACAGCACAAACCACCCCAAGCCCCAGCCAGGACCCCCACCCCCAACCTAGTGTTCCAGGGGTCATGGCTGGGGGAATAAGAGGAAAGAGCGACGAGTGATGAAGGGCCGTGGAAACCCTCCTGTGGGTTCTGCACTCTACCCTTGCGGGCCCAGGGAACCTAATCAGCAATGCGCGTGAATTTTGAATACGTCAGCGACAACCATAAGCCCCTGATCGGGGGGGGAGGCCACCTGGTTTGGACCAGAAGGTGCAGGATTTACATATGGCCTCCCGAAAAGGGACGGAAGAGGGGGAGGAGGAGGAGGAGGACGGAACAAAAGGCAAATGGCATGTTCCGTGCCCACGAGCAGTCAGCATGTTGCCGTGTCTTTTCCTCCGGCTTGCGACGTGCAGGTCGGAGGGACGAATGGCGGCTGACATGGCGGCACTCACCAGCAGGCACTGCATCACCGAAGGACCGGATGATAAAAACGAGCCCATCACCACCGAAGGAGAAGGATGAAGTAAAGGGGAGGGTGGGCCAACCCGTCCTACCTCAATCCTCCCAGTTGCCTTCGTCAACAGCACGTGCGCCAACAGCTTTCCTGACCAAGTGCCGCTTCGGCAGCCTCAACCTAATCTGACGGTAGGGCACAGCACGAGAACCTTTTTAGTTCACATAAAGTACTTGTGATAGCCATCGTTGCGATGTGCGGGCGCAGCCCGCAAAGTGATTTTCGGAAACTGATTTGAATGCTTGACCGACTGATCTGACAACTGAATCACCAAAGCCGATAGATGGCATATTTTATTTCCAGGGGTGAGGACATTTCGGTGGCAAACTTCCGTTAGGGGGTTGAGGATACGTCGCTCGAAGTTTAAATCCAAGGGGCAAGGACATTTAGCTGGCAGTTTGAGGCCAGGGACGGTGGGGATATGTCGCTGGCAGTTGTAAGGCAAGGGGCTGATGATATGTCGCTGGCGTTTGAAGGCCAAGGGTGAGGATAGTTAGCTGGCAGCTGTAGGCCAGGGGCGGTGATGATATTTCGCAAACAGTTTCAAACGACGGGTCTGAGGACATGCCGCTGGCAGGGTTTAGTCAAGCGGTGAGAATATTTCGGCGGTCGTTTCAAGCCAGGGGGAAGGATATTTCGCTGGCAGTTCCAAGCGAGGGGTGCGAGAATATTTCGCTGGCAGTTGTACGGCCAGGGGGTGAGGATATGTCAATGGCAGTTTTAAGCCAGGGGGCGACATTTCACTGGCAGTGTTTAAGCCAAGGGGTGGAGGTATATAATATAACTAGCAGGTTAAGGAATGGGTGTGAGAATACGTCCGACGCCGAGGGGGTTGAGGATATTTGGCTGGCAGTGTGAAGTCCAGGGTAATGATACCCAGCTGGCAGTGGCCAGGGGCAGTGAGGATATTTCGCTGGCAGTTCCAAGCAAGGGGCGCGAGGATATTTCGATGGCAAATTAAAGCGAAGGGCGTGAGGATATTTCACTGGCAGTTTCAGGCCAGGGGGTGAGGATAAGAACGAGCAATTTAAGAGATGGGTGTGAGGATATTTCGCACGTCCGGGGGGGTGAAGATATTTCGCTGGCGCAATGAAGTCCAGGGGGTGAGGATATTCAGCTGGCAGTTTCAGGCGGAGGGCAATGAGGATATTTCGCTGGCCGCTTCAAGCGAGGGGTGTGAGGATACCCCACTGGCTGTTTCAAGCGAGGGGTGTGACGATATGTCGCTGGCAGTTTTAAGACCGGGCGGTGTGGATATTTCCCAGACGGAACCTAGCAGCACCATGTGCCACGCACGGGCGGCTGGAGGTGGCGAAACAGGGGGTCGGAGGTCGTGGTCGGTGCGGGCATCCACGCGCCACTCGATACAGTGTTGGGTATTGCCCTGCCTGGCCATGCCGAATGCTACCTACGCATGCAGCGCAGTGCTGCGCCCGCATGAATGCTCGCCCCTTGGCGCGGGGCTGGCGGGGGACCAGGGGGCGAGCTGTCTGGTGCTTGTGTATCCCAACCATCCTGTGTGGGTCTTCGTTTTGAATCCGCAGGGCCGCGCGTCTCCTCCTCCTCCTCCTCCTCCTCCTCCTCCTCCTCCTCCTCCTCCTCATACTTTTCCTCCTCCCCCTCTACCCTCTACTTCCTCATCCGTATCGTCTTCCCTCTTTCAATTTCGGCACACCATCACACGTTATATGGCCCCATAGGGAGCTCCACCGAAAGGCTTGTTGGCTACGTTCGCATGTGGCCCCCCCCCATGGCGCCAGACCCCTCACACGTTTCGTGAACACATGGGGAGCTCCACCGAAGGGCCCAGTGGCTGCGTTCGCATGTGGCTCCGCCCCATTTCGGCAGACCCCTCACAAGCTTCGTGGTTTCATTGGGAGCTCCTTGGGCTCCAGTGGCTGCATTCGCATGCGGCCCAGCCTCATTTCGGCAGACCTCTCACACGTTGTGTGAACCCATGGGGAACTCCACCGAAGAGCACAGTGGCTGTGTTCGCACGCGGCCCCGCCCCCTTTCGGCAGACCTCTCACACGCTTCCTGGTATCATAGGGAGCTCCACCGACGGCCCTGGTGGCTGCGCTCGCATGCGGCCCAGCCCCACTTCGGCAGACCCCTCACACGCTTCGTGGTTTCGTTGAGAGCTCCACCGACGGCCTTGGTGGCTGTGTTCGCATGCGGCCCCGCCCAATTTCGGCAGACCCCTCAAACG